AATGTTACTGATGCATTTTGAACAAAACAGAATAATGTAAAGGTATGGAAAGTACATTTACAGAAAGAACAGTGACTTTAGGGAAGCTTTTAATATCTGAAGGACTAATGTATTTTAATATTTTGTTGGAAGCCGCCCAGAGCGGCTGGGGAAACCCAGCCAGATGGGCGGGGTATAAATAATAAATTATTATTATTGTTATTATTATTTTTTATATATCATTGCAGATGTCTTACATTAAGGATTGCTTCTGAATTTTATTTGATGTCAGTCACAGATCTTAACCTGAGAAACCCCTAACAGTGATATTGACATAGACAATCCTTTGTAATAATGGATTTCAACAGCCTCAAACTGCTGGCTCTTCTGGAAAATGCCCTTACAGCTTTTGTCGTCATTGAACATTTTGCCTGGTTTCTAATTCTGGAGACAGGTATGACTTAGCTCTATACATACACCAGCATTACATGGCTAAATCCAAATGTTTAGTATATTCCCAGGGCTCAGTAGAGACCACGTTCTTTCATGAGTTTCTATAAACAAATGGGTTTAATGAATGCATACGTATATTTTCTTCCCTTCCGATTAGATGACTCATGAGCCTCGAAAAATTACTTATTAACATTTATGGCAACTTCCTTCTCTGACTAAAGGCTTTTACATTAAGAAGTCATTAACTTTAATTTCCTTTTCCATAATTAAAAGTTTATAATACTGCATCACCTAACAAGTAAAAAAGCCATGTGTCATATTAATATTGCATGATAACGATTCATTACATGATAATGATTCAAAGCATGAACACTGGAAGTCAGGGTCTCCGGAAAAAATGACTCAGTTTAATTCCTAAGCTTGCTCATTTCTTGCTGTTTCTCTGTAATTCATGCCTGCATTTGGTACTACCTTTCTGTTGTATCCCCATGTCTCTGCCTTTTGCCTTAATTATAAAACTTGCAGGGGGGTGTCTAATAAAATTAATCCTAAATTTCATATTTTAGTAATATAGCCCACATCAAAGAAAAATATGAAACTTCTGACTCAAGTCAATCACTCGTTACAATTAAATAAGAAGAAATGAGAGGCTAGGATTTGCTTTAATCATAGCCTGAATCTCTGAAAGATTGAATAATAATATACCTGAATTCTTAGTAATTGTTGATGAGAGTGGGAAAAGATCTTTATCTGCAAATTGGTCATGCATTTGGACAGGAACTGCATTTCTAAGCTTGCTTGCATCCATTTCTATGGTATTTTCTAAATCTGGAACAGCTTGAGGGAGACCATGGGGTGGTATTCAACTGAGTTGTACTCAGAGTAGGCCTACCAAAATTAATGGACCTAAAACGATTACTTTCAGTGGACCTACTTTGAGCAAAAAAAAGGGACGTGGGTGGCGCTGTGGGTTAAACCACAGAGCCTAGGACTTGCTGATTATAAGGTCGGCGGATCGAATACCCGCTATGGGGTGAGCTCCTGTTGCTTGGTCCCTGCTCCTGCCAACCTAGCAGTTCGAAAGCACGTCAAAGTGCAAGTAGATAAATAGGTACCGCTCCGGTGGGAAGGTAAACAGCGTTTCCGTGCACTGCTCTGGTTCGCCAGAAGCAGCTTAGTCATACTGGCCACATGACCCGGAAGCTGTACGCCGGCTCCCTTGGCCAATAAAGCGAGATGAGCGCCGCAACCTCAGAGTCGGTCACAACTGGACCTAATGGTCAGGAGTCCCTTTATCTTTACCTTACTTTGAGCAAAACCCAGCTGACAACCACTCCCATAAAGGAAGGACATGTTGCCAATTCTGAATCATTGTGCCAATGTATCTTAGATCAGTGGGATGGCCTCTTTAAGAAGATAGATCTATTTACAGGAGGCCCATAAGAGCTTCCCAGCATACGTGCAGTGAGTAAGGTACATATCTAACCTTTGTCAGATTGTATTATATCCATTGTTTCATTATTCTCCAATTCCCATCATTGCTGATCAACTGAAATGTTTAATTACATCTTAATATGGTTATAAAATAGTTTCACCAGAAGCTTTTTATGATCAAAGGCTTGAAAAGAAACTCTTGAAGAAATAAAGCTGTAAATAGCACCCCATTTTCCTATTACTATCAGGAGCGCTGCATTTCATATAACGAAATGCAATAATAAATTATAAAACATTGACTATTAAATTTCCTTTTCACATTCTGCATGCTTTGATATAAGGTTTTGATGTTATTTTTGTGGTGAAATATGACATTATTTGCTTGGCAAAATACACATGACTTTTCATGCTCAACTACGTTGGAAGAAGACCAATATTTCATTTATAGGCTATGAAATAGTTTGTGTGCATTGTAAATGGGATTTATCTCTGCCCTTCTATTTATCATGTAGAAACGGAGCATCAGTATTCAGGACTTGCCATTTCCCCTTTATTGGTTACAGAGAAACACAATGGCATTTCACTGAATTATATCCAAATGTTATATGTGAATGGAAGGCTGCTCATGCAACATGCCTCTCTCTCTCTCTCTCTCTCTCTCTCTCTCTCTCTCTCTCTCTCTCAACTTGAGCCCTTCTTTTCTACTATACCTGCTGAAAAGTCTCTCTTCAGAATGGAAATGGGGGTTGCACTGGAAGTGTGTGTGGAATTGCTGAAAATAGGGCAGAAGTAGCTTGCAAAATTTCAAAAGTCAGCCAATTTTGAAAATTTGAAATTCAACATTTGTCAAAATTTGACCATCCACATTTGATGTTGTGATTCGAATGGCAGAACTGAATATTGACACCTAATTAAACATTCACGATTATGGCTGAACAAAATTCCATGTCAAGTTTTATCCATCACAACATGTCAGATACTGTGAAATGCTGGCTGCCAACTGTCAACTGCTGATTGCTACATGTCATATGCTGCCCAAATACTGATTGCTATTGTCAGAGATCACAAAACATAGGTGCAGATGCAGTTTGCAGTCAAATAACACAAATGCCCCATTCCATTTAGGAGTGCCACAGACATGCAACAATCAGTAATGCACATATTCCCAGCTGCTTAAAAATCATTTACCCAAGCAGGTTAAATGTGGGATTTTGTGGGATTTCCCTTTTTTTGGTTGGCAATACTCATGTGGAGCCCTTTCAAACAAGTTGAAATTACATTGACCATAGACGGAAGAGGGAGAGGAGGTTGAATTTAATCCTACCTCTTTTATGCTGAATAATGTACTGGTCAGATTTTAGCTATTCTGAAGAGGCTTCAGTTATACAGAGGCTTTGCAAATTCTCCTCTGGTTCTGTCAACTGAAGTGTTCATAGCTTAGCAAATTTGCACTCACAGAGAATATTCAGAGAACCACACAAAAGTCTTTTTTTGGGGGGTGGAATTAATTTCATTCTATTATCTATTTTATATTTGAAAGATTTGCTTCTGCACTGAGTGCTAGGGGGGAAGATTTTACAGCTCCTGCATCACAGATGTTGAATGAAGGATACCTGGAAACTTTAAAATATTTTGATAATCCTATTGAGTGGCACTTGGTTAAATCCCTGCTGATAAGATATGAAGAAATCATATATAATTTAATCCAGGATTATCTTTATACAAATGGTTTTTAATCACACAAACCTGTTTGTGTCTCAGTCCCAAAGGAAAACATGAGGCAAAACTGAAATTCAAGAAAATAGTTTAAAGCAAACAGCAACTGCACTAGCAGAGATATGCAACTGGGAACATATTATTTTCTTTCAGGGAAAAAAACCAACCAACCATGGTGTAGCAAAGAGGAATTGTTTGCCAGGTAGTCATGGGAAGGAAGAAATATCCACAGGACTGTCTCAAATCACACCCTTTTGTAAGCAGGCATGGGTTTTTTTTTTAAACACAAATGCAAATTTCCTAGTTTGCATCTGAAAGAGATGTGACTATAAACCACACATGTGAAAATAATGTTGGGGAGGGAAATCCTTTCACACTTCTGTAGGAGTTTAAGCTTGGAAAACCTATGCACTTGCAAGATCAATTTAGACATAATCAGGGCAGTCTTTAGCATATGCTCCTACAAACTCCTACAGATGTTTCCTGCTTGGCAGGGGGTTGGACTCGATGGCCCTTGTGGTCTATTCCAACCCTAATATTCTATGATTCTATGATATGCGGTGCCAGGGTGCAAAAATTCGCCCAGCGCCCCCCCTTTTTTTTGGGGGGGGGGAGGCAGGTCAAAGTTGTTCAGCTTTTTTAAGAGGGGCAGCTCAGAGTTTTTTGCTTTTGAGGAGGGGGGGGGGGAACAGCAAGAACCACAAACATAAAAAAGTAAAAAACATCTGCGATATCTCCGCCTTTCCATTTTTGCAATCATGCTAAAATGAAAGACACCACTAGGGGGCGCCCCTGGATATGTTGATTGTGCAGCTATTTCGCAATAGAGAACGGAAATGAGCCATTGAACGCAATCACCCAGGGGTTGCGGTTAACAGCTTAGGCGGCTTCAGAGGCGGGCACCCCACAGAATTTGGCGCCCTGGGGTAATGCACCCCTAGCACCCCCAGGAAAAGGCGGCCCTGTCACAAGGGCAGGGGATACATGGGGAAGGAGGAATAATTGAAAATGATCTTCCCACTTCCTCCACTGGTGTTTGGCATGAGGGCAACACTATTCATCGCAAGTCTTCTGGACCCACCCCAATGTTTGATCATACACTTCCCAACCCTGACAGCCATTGTCTAAACCGAGAGTGAATGTACACCAGACCATTCTTCTTCTTCTTCTTCTTCTTCTTCTTCTTCTTCTTCTTCTTCTTCTTCTTCTTCTTCCTCCTCCTCCTCCTCCTCCTCCTCCTCCTCCTCCTCCTATACTGCCCTTCATTCGAAGATCACAGTGTGGTTTACAATATAAAAAGACAAAAATGCATACCAGAGTAGCTCTAACCTCCCCAGTTTAAAAGGTCATAGATTATTTAATGAGCCAAAGGCCTGGGAGAAGAGGAATGTTTTTGCCTGGCACCTAGAGATATGTAATGAAGGCATATTGGAACCTGCCCATTATGTTTGCTCGCTATATGTGTTTCTTGAAGACAAATTACATCTAAACCTTGTTTGAGAATTATATGTTCAATTTTATTTGTCAGGTAGTCTTGGAAACAAATGAGTGTGGTTAATTAGAAAGAAGATTTACTGCAAAAAACCCCAAAAAAACCAACCAACAGAGTTCATGGAGCAGTGAACGCTGCTGTCCATCCCTTAGTGAAGATGTTCCTACTGAGGAGGCTTCTTCTGGCGAAACCAAAAGCAGCCCAGCCTCCTCTTGTGACGTGATTTGTCCTGAAGGCCGCCTATTTGACGAGAGCGGGGTCTAAGGGGGTCAGCCCCCTCCCCTTCCTCATTCCCAGACACGGAGCTTCCATCTTCGTTCCCCCTCTCTGAGCTGCAGCTGCTATGCATCTCTGTAATTTGAACTCCACTGGTCGGCTGGCAAACGGCTGTCTGCCTGCCATCAGGGCTGTTTCCACTCGACATTCCTGAGGGTAGGAGACAGGACTCCTGATTGTACTCATCTAGTCCTGCATTTAACCTCCTCTCTTCCTGTCTGCCTTCTCCCTCTGCCTGTACTTCTTCCCTGGGAGCTGGTGTATTCATGACATTATTCCTTTTTACTTTACTGTCTAGACCGTTTACATTCCAACTCAGTACCTTTAAGTCTGCCGTTATGTTTGCTTGTGTCTTCCCCCCTAAAGTCTTGTCTAAAGTTTTGTGTTGTCTTGGTTATCTAAATTATCTACATCCCCCCCCCGTTGCTCCTTCCCCTGCCCCTCCTACTGCTCCCATTGGGTCCTGCGGAGTGTATGGGTTGTCAAAAATCTCTGCTATGTCTTAGCCAGAATTCCTGTGCCTGCTCTTCATTTACCAATCTATATTTTTTTTTCTTTGTATGTAAAGGAAATTCTTTCTGGGAATTCCTGTCCAAATTTAATATTGACTCTAATCAAGACGTTTTGAAGCAAACAGGGAGGTATCTCTCTAAACATAGCCACAGGGTTTCCATCTACCTGGAGTCTGTTTTCATAATTGTTCTGCACAATGGCGTCCTTCAATTTCTTAGAGTTAAAAATTACCAAACAGTCTCCAGGCTGTTTCTTAGCCTTTAGACTGGACCCTGTAGCAACTGTCCATAGATCCTTCAACATACTCCTGTTCCTCTCCCTACCAATCCGCAATTGTCTTGGCTATGTATTTTTAAAGAACCTGTCCCCCCCCTCTGCCTCTGAAAGGCCTCTTATTCGCAGAACATTAGATTTTTGTCTAATCTCTAAGACCGCGAGACAATCCTCAAATTGATCCTGTCTGCCAGCTAAACCTCTCATACCCCCCTTATTATCTCTTGTTACCCTCTAATTTCTTTGTTCTCTTTTTCAATTTTTTCAAGTTTTACACAGAAATGTCCAAAGCTTCTAATTTGCTAGACATTTCTGTGACCATTTCTGTGTTCTTCCCCAATTCCGCTACAACTTTTTCATTCTGCTTTTGCATTTGTGTCAGCATCTCATTTTTAAAATCTGACAGAATATACTCTATATCTGACTTACTTCAGATTGTTTTACTGATATTTTAATATTCTGTAAACTGCTTTGAGATTTTTCTTAAAAATATAAAGCTGTATAGAAATAAAATACATACATACCTGGGATGCTAGGATAGGAAGCACCCACATGATCCAGTCGGTGGTGCATCAGGGGAGCATCGTTAGAGCAGCAGGCACAGTGCAAAGGTTGCTTGACTTGGTCCTTTGATGCCTCGGCAGAGTTCAGAACCAAGCTTATTCATTGAAATCACTACCCAAAAATCCTCCCATGCTAATATTTTGGGAAGTTAGGGATATAGGGAAAAATAGAGGGGCATGATGGTTGCATTGGAAGTTAGCAAGGACACCACAGGGATTTGAACCCCATCCTGGGAACCAGGAGTGCCGACCACCAGTGTCTTTTGCTTTTTTTTTCTGGAGCAATGCGACAAGGTGAAAAGCAAAACCTGAGGGAATGTTCTCTCAGAAAAAAAACCCCCGTACGATGTTAAGAAGAGCTCTTTGGAGAGACCTGTGAAGAGACCAGCAGAAAAGAAAATGAGAAAAAGGTGAGGTCAATACAAAAATATTGTCTTGACAACAGACCAGTGAGTGGTGGAATGTGAACTTACCTAAAGCAGCACAGTTGAAATGGAGGTGACTCTCACCTCAGGTACAGTGAACTCTGGGAAACCTGGAGAAAGGAGGAGCTGGAACAAAAGAAGAAGTGTTCTCTTACCTGCAGGTGAGCCTCATTGTGGTGGCACAGAATAGGGCCTCTTCTGACAACTCAGTCATGGCAACCTGAAAGAGTCTTAGCACAATGAATTGCAGACGGAACACAGTAGAGATTTTCTCCCTAACCAAGCAAGGCATACTCACCTAAATGTCCTTCAGTCATGGAATACCATTTTGACCGCCATTTTTGTTTGAAGCTTGATGAGGCTTTGATCTACAGGGGCACTACAGTGAGATGAGACTCAGACTTAAACCTCTGTGTGGAAAGAAGGAAGGTTGTTCACCCTTTTGTTTGTCCATCTGAGGGTGTGTCTTGCGGTTCCCCTTTTTTGGTCTGCGATCTAGAGTCACTAGTTTGTCTCCAGCCACCTTCCACCAATCCTACAGAAAATGAGTTTTTTTAAAAAACAAACAAAAACCAAACAGCTTTTCTTACCACCATGACTTCTGGGACTCTGCTGGAAGAGCTGGCTTCAATTGATGGTTGGGAGCTCTTTGGAGAGACCTGTGAAGAGACCAGCAGAAAAGAAAATGAGAAAAAGGAGAGACCAATATGGAAAACATTGTCTTGAACAAAGACCACTGAGTGGCGGAATGTGAACTTACCTAAAGCAGCATAGTCAAAATGCAGGTGACTCTCACCTCAGGTACAGTGAACTCTGGGAAACCTGGAGAAAAGAGGAGCTGGAACAAAATAAGAAGTGTTCTCCTACCTGCAAGTGAGCCTCATTGTGGTGACACAGAATAGGGGCTCTTCTGACAACTGAGTCACCACAGAGTCTAAGAAAGAGTCTAAGCACAAATTGTTGCAGAAGGAACACAACATAAATTTTCTTCCCAGCCAAGCAAGGGATACTCACTAAGATGTCCTTCAGGCATAATGTATACAACTATATTGCTGCTATCATTGTGATGTAGTGTTTAGGGTTTACTTGTGAGGTATCTGAGCCTGTCATTGCCTCTGAAAATACAAGAGTACTTGATAGTTACCTTCCTTCAGCTGCGATGGTCACTTCAAAGTGAGAAGTTTGTATATTTTTGTTTGTATAAAGTCAATGCTTTGTGCTGTCTGAGCTGTATGCTAAATAGCTGTTCCAAGAAGACACTTAGCAAAAATCAAATAAAATCCCAAAACCTTGGTTATTACCACCAGAGAGTCACATTACACATCATGGGCAATTTTGCCTGGCCTGTTCCATAGTTACCTTTTGAGCTGTATTTCCCATATCTTTTCATAATCTTGCTGGTTCTGTTGGAAAGGCTTAGTGGAGTTGATGTTCTAGTCTGCTTCCTCATTTGATCTTCACAACAACTCTGTGGGTAGGTTAGGCTGAGAGATAGAGAGTTTCATGGCAGAGTGAGGATTTGAACTCTACTCTCCCAGTTCCTAATCCATCACTCTAACCATTCCACTCTTTCAGGAACTTCCCTCAGAAGCACTTTCCCACAGGATCCTGGACTTGCCATGTCCCTGAGCACTCTTCAGCTGCCACCAGCAGGTTCATCCTCAAAATAATTTATTTGCCTTTTCAGCAAGTTTTTATCTTACCTGTCTCTCTCTCCTTCCAAGGCATCCTGAGCCAACATGAAAGTAGAAGGAGCGGTTTTGTCCTTTCCCTTATTTTTTGCTTCCTGCCCTCTCCACTTGCACATTTCTAGCTTCAGCAACAAAACCCCCCAACTTGCCTTTTAAAGGAAATGCCTTCTATTTTCCCTACTCATTTTCTCTCTGCTTTAAGCAGGCTTCATATCCATGTGCTCCTTCTTTTCATCCGAAGACTAATTAGTTTGAAAGGTAAATAAAACTTGATTTCCCCCACTTCACATTCCTTCATTTAGCCTCATTTTCTCTTGGCTTTTCCAGTTAAGTTTTTTCAAAAAAAAATTTTCTTGATTCTCTTTAACATCTCAATCTTGGTATTTTTCTGAGTTTTCAGTTTAAATTTTGCTTGGCTAAACACTTTTTGGGGGGACTTTCTCAAGGTCCATCATCTGTCTACAATTTACTGTCCCTGTGTTATTAAGATTAAGTCTTCTTTGATCTTCTATTTTCCTTCGGTTTCCTTTTAATTTAAAATTTAATGCCTCTCCTAACACTTTTTAGGGACAAATACCTGATTAAGATATATGTGCATGGTATTTGAAATCAACCACAGCAGAGATCACAGGTGAAAATTACCTGTGTCCCTTTTTAAAGTTGTAAATGATGAATTTCAGCAGAGTGAAATCTCTTCATTTACTCTAAAAAAAATTAAAAATCCCAATAGTTTTGAAAAACAATCTAACCTAAGCTGGTTTGTTGCCTTTTCAAACCTGTTTCATCTTCCCCAGCCTCCCTCTCCTAATCCCCCTGCCCATTATATCCTTCTGCTCTGACTAGTGAGAGGGTTAAAACCAGTACTATAGCCAGGGACAGGCTCACTCACTGGAATGCGGCTCGCTCCTTCCACCACCTGTTGGTCATAAGAACACATAAAAAGTCCCTTGCAGCATTAATACAGTGGGTGTAAATGTCTTTTTTTCTTTTTAAAATAATTTTTATTAAGTTTTGAAGTTTTATGTTCATCACAATAACATTGTCTCAAACAGAAAAATAAATAAAGTTCCCTGCCCGCCCCCCGCGCCCCGCCCTGCAACTTCCCTCAACTTCCTCTTCTGGTTTGTTACGCAATAACATCTCCTGCTTATTTTCATACTTTACATTCTTCCAATTGAATATCTTATATTCTTATGTTTCTTTTTCCCCGTACTTCTTTTTAAATTACTTCTAATATTTTTTCTATTTTCCAATTCTTACATCTTATTCTCTATTTTTGTTTTGTTGATTGTAAGTGTTTACTCAAACCGTGCTAGTGAGTCCACTTCTTTATAATGTTTCTGTAGATACAACATAAATGGCTCCCAATCTTTTAAAAAGTCTCTATTGTCCTTATCTCTCAGTTTTCCAGTTAGCTTCGCCATTTCAGCATACTCCATCAGTTTTTCTTGCCATTCTTTAGTTGGTACCTATTGTCTTTCCATTTTTTGGGCTAGTAATATCCTAGCCGCTGTTGTGGCATACATGAATTATAATTTCTTCTGATCTTTTGGCAAGTCTTGACCTGTGTAGTCTAGCAGAAAAGCTTCTGGTCTCTTAACAAAAGTTATCTTAAACATTCATTTCATTTAATTATAAATCATTTCCCAATTTTTTTTGATTATTTTACAATTCCACCACATATCTTCTTTTTCTTTACATTTCCAACACTTGTTGGAGCTTGTTTTATACATTTTGCCATCTTTGCCGGTGTGATATACCATCTATACACACACACACACACACACACACACACACAAATGATACTGTCAGCTTCCAGTAAAAACAAAACAAAGCCTTCTTTTGCAAAAATTAGTAGGTCTTATCACTCTTGTTCCAAACATTACTTTTTTTTAAAAAAAAGAAAGAAAGATATAATTTGTGCACAAAAGTCATTTGTGCCTAGAACTGTACCCATAAAGGGTGATCTGAATTCCAGAATATGGATAGGAACTTGATAAATCTCCACTTCTCACCACAATACAGTGGTACCTTGGGTTAAGTACTTAATTCGTTCCAGAGGTCCGTACTTAACCTGAAACTGTTCTTAACCTGAAGCACCACTTTAGCTAATGGGGCCTCCTGCTGCTGCCGCACCGCTGGAGCACGATTTCTGTTCTCATCCTGAAGCAAAGTTCTTAACCTGAAGAACTATTTTTGGGTTAGCGGAGTCTGTAACCTGAAGCGTATGTAACTCTAGGTACCACTGTATTTTCTTTGCCCGTTTGGCTGCATGCCAGGGCAGTTTTGATGCCATAGCTTCTGCCTCATAGTTGCATATTGTAAACTATCTTACACTGTTGCCTCACAGTTTTCCATTAAAATGTGTGAGAATGTTGCATTGTGCTAGCACTGGGCTTTGATCTCAGTTCTATCCCACTAAAGCAGTGCAGCAGGCCGATACCGTTGTGACTAGATAACCTTTCTTGTGCTAAGTAGAAGCTTTGCGCATTGAAGGCGGATTCATTCATTCCTGATGGTGTGACATTGTTGTGCAGTATAATTTAATAGCCTTTTACTATGACTGAATCTGGTTCCAAGTTAATGAAGTTCTAGGAATTCATAAAGATTCAGAATTCACATCCTGTTTGCTCCAGCAGATTTATTCAAGTCAATGAGAGCCAGTGTGGTTAGAGTGCTGGTCTAAGACTTGGGAGACCTGGGTTCAAATCCCTATTCAGGTATGAAGCTCACTGGATGACTTTGGGCCAGTCACTGCTTCTCAACCTAACCCACCTCACAGAGTTGTTGTGGGGATAGAATGGGGAGAAGCTATGTATGCCACCTTGAGCTCCTTGGAGGAAAGGTGGGATATAAATGTAATGATAAAATAAAATAAAATTGGTTCTCTGGAGTAAATGAGTAATTGATCATTATGTAGATGTACAAAGTAGAATAATCAGTATGGCAGGCTGCTTTTTATTGCAAACAATGATAAATGACTATAGCGCACATGTGTCCTAGCAGGAGGGCAAGTGAAACCATAGAATCATAGACTTTTTGGAAGGAACCTCAAAGGGCATCTAGTCCAACTCCCTGAAAGGCAGAAATATCAATGGAAGCTTTTCTTTGATGGTGGTTTTGAGATGATCCCCTGCAGAAAAGGGCCCATTCCTGTGTTGCCACCCTCCCGTGGAGAAGGCACATGCAGAAGGGCCTCAGATGACGATTGCAGGATCCAGGTCAGTTCATATGAGGAAAGGTGTTCACATCCCTGTCACATGGCAGGAATAGTCTTAAACAAAGATGTGCTCTCCTAAGCCCACCTTCCCAGCATGTTCACACTGTTGTCTCAGCGATGTCTAAGCTAGCTTGCTCGTGTCCACAGAATGGAAGGTGGCAGGATCCCCAATGATGTTGTCTATGGGGAGCTGGCTTCATGTACCAGATCTGTTAGCAGACCAACTCTGCACTACAAATATGTCTGGAAATGTTACATGAAGGCTGGCAAAATCAACCCCACCGTGTGGGAATCCCTTGCAGATGACTGCAGCATCAGGCAGACAATCAGTCAGGCTGTGTGATATGTATTGGGTTTAACACAATTTATGTTACAAGGCGCATTCTAACCAATCGTATAAGCGTTGGTAGTCAAACATTCTAATGGCAAGTAAGCGCATGCACTTTCAACTGTCAACTGTCAACCGTCAGTTCATGCTCAGCATTATTATTGTGTTGTCCAGTCAGTTTGGTTCTTGTTTTCCTGTGAGTGAGCTGTTGTCACTGACAAATGTTGAATAAATGTAGCTGAGGAACTTATACTGCCTTGGGCTTCTGACTTTTCCCGAACATTTAACATTAAAGTTCCCCTAATCCCCAAGAAGTTGGAGGAGTGGGGGGGAGTCATGCTGATGGGATGAGGGAGTTAATTATTGCCTCTGGAACTATAACACACCTTAGGCCTACTGCCTGCAGCTCTACTGGGCTTGGGCCCTCACACCATCTCCATCTTTTTTGCCGGGGGGGGGGGGGGAGGGATTCTTGACAATCCAAAGATGCACCTGTTCTTTTTAATCACCATGGATATGTCGGAATGTGAGTGAGTTAATATTAAGACTACATCTCCAAATGCGGTGTGTGTGTAAAATTACATTTCTTAGAAGAGGGAAATGAATCTTAGTCCTTTTCATTCTTCAAAAATGTTGTGATAAAAGCTTTGTGCTAGAGCGAGGATGACTCAGGTTTAAATTCCAACCCGGCCACTTAAGCTTATTACGTTATCTGTGCTAGGCACTTTCTGTCCACATAGTCTACTTCACAGTTGTTATGAGGTTATGTGTGTGTGGGAGGGAGACCCATGTATACTGTACTAGCTGCTTGGATGAATGGAAGGGCTCCACACGTAGTCTTATTCAATGTCTAGTTTAAGTTGATAGACTCTCAGTTGCTATGAGCCACAATGGCTAAGTTCTGTGCCCACTGTCAGAGTCAGTATTCATCTGAATATCAGTTTCTGAGAAGGGGAGGATTGCTGTTGTGCTTAGGTCTTGCTTTTGGGATTCTCCTAGGCATCTGGTTGGCTGCTGTGATAATAGATCTGGACTAGATAGGCCCTTGGCCTGACCTAGGAGGGCTCTTCTTATGTTCTTAATCCATCCAATTTCATGCTTTCTCAGAATCTTGTGCCCTCTTCTGTCACTCCTGCCCAAAGACTGTGTTTTCCATTTACTGCCTATCCTTCCCTCCCTCCCTCCAATTTGATCCTGTTTGACATCAGTGTTATGGGATGTGTACACTTACAAACCCACACACCTTTCACATCATTTCAATAATAGGCAACCTCACAAAATCAACGAGTTCCTTAACCAATAATGCCATGTAGCACTGAACCAAGAAGTATCATATGGCACTTATTTTAGGGCCAGTGCTTGGATTACACCAGCTACAGTACAAACTTGTCAAGGAGCTAATTTTACAGGGTGAGCATTTTGCATATTGGGCTTCCCACAAAGATCTGCAAATATTTTTCCACACCAATGTATGTTAAAGAATCCCCCAATGGAGAAAATAGGGTGTGGGTGTGGGGGAGAGGAAGTTCTTTACTGGGGAAAGCACCAGTTTAGGGGTTGGGGGTGGAGGAGATGTACTTCACTGATGTTGCAGTCTTAATTTCCTCTGCAGAACTGGACAGTACACCTTTTTAGAAAAGCACAGACTATGTTTTGTTAAATACCTAAATAAATACTTAAAAACAAAATCTGACAAACGTTTCTTCAACTGAGCATTTTCTCAGTCACAAGACCCCTGTTACTATATCACATTGTGGATCAGTTTCCAAGATAAAGAAAAAATAGATCTATATCTTTGCAGTGGAATTCACCTGATAACCGTTTGTCAGCTGCTGCATATGAATTCTTTTCTGTTTGGTGACATATTGCAAGTCTGAGTGAGTCTTGTGGATCAGCTGTAATTTCCGCATCAGCTCTTAGACTTTTCTGAAGGAGAACTTTTATATTTGGCTTTTTTCCAGAGTTAAATCGTTTCTACTTCATTCATCATATGAAACCTCTTGCATGGATGCATTTTCACAACTGTGTATAAATTATCTTGCGATAAGCCTTAATAGCTCTTTAAATCAGGTTTAAATCAGAATAAAACCTTGGATCTAATAAAGTTGTGCCCTGGGGAAAATAAATAACTTTTTGAGACAAAGAACCTATTACACCAATCTGACTGAAACAATTAGCCTTGAATAGAGCAAGTAAATCTTTAACTTTCAAGAGAAAAAGAGAGGTGTTTCAAGTATTTTTTGAAGAAATATGTTTC